TAATGGCAAGGTCACACACAGCGAGGCGGCCGGAAGGGAGCTGGAAGGATTTAATACAGGTCTTAGCTCACATTAACAGTCTTGACCCAGAAAAAAATGCAGAGTGACTGTTGGTAACGGTTTGGTTGTACATCCAAAAAAGCAGTGAAAATATAAATTGCCTTTATCGTCCCCCGAGGCTGTTGTGCATGATTTTTCTCTCCTAGGTAAAGTGGGAAACTACAGGAAAAGGGCATAGCTGATTATAACTGGGTTCTTGGATGAGAAGAAGAGTACATTATAGACAGCAAAAATGCAACCGACATTTTTCCCCTGGCACAATTAATACAGGAGAACAAAATATACACATAGCCAGTCAATTAATTGCTTACTTGGTACAATAAATGGTTTTTGCAGAATGCGAAAATATCTAGTATGTAGGCTTTCTAATTTCCATCCATTTCTGGGCATTAGGCAGAGCCCAGGACAAGCTTTCATCAAATTAGATGTGAAACGATTACGTGTTAATATAGAATCTGAGGATGCCTCTGCTGAACTTCCCCAGAGTGAGTTTACATGATGCCTACAGGAATTTAAATTTACTCTTGACAGAACAAATATCCAAATCTGTCCATATAAGAAATGTAGCTACTCAAGGCTAACGCTGCATGTTTGACATTAAAGGCAGTTCAAAAATAAAAAATCACCCAAAGCATATGAGATGTTGGTCTATTGGAACACATTTAGCTACTCATGGGTGTATTTTCTGCTTAAAGCCGAGAGAATCTGAGCATTGTACCCCACCCACCAAAAATTCAGAAAGCGGCTGGACTATTGGTTAATCATATTTTTTTCTTATACAGAAAATACTGGCCAAAATAGGTTAAAAGTTACAAAACAATGAAAGAAGAGAAGAAACCCCATGTAAAATATCATATTGAGACTTGCATGCAGCATTGGTAGCACTTCCAAAGCTAGTATCAAAGGTTCTGTACGGCCCAGGGACCCATCTCAAGCGCTAACCTATGGATGTTGCTGGACATCGCTGCAGTGGTTCTCAATGTCCTCCACTTAACCAGCAATCCAATTTACAGTTCAGTACAACCAGAAGCTTTTTGTATCTCATTCTGATGCTGCGACAGGCAAAAATGTTTGCTTATCACTTAACCTGAACGGGCTTGCTCCTCTCACGGGAGAGGAGAATAATTCATATTTATGCCAAGTATCATGGCCAAATAGTAACCTGAACTAAAGGGAGGTGTTATTCCCTGCGCCCACACCTTCCATTTTGAAAGTCATATTTCCCCCCCTTTCTTTTTCTTTGTAAAGAATGGTTGTACTCTTACTTTAAAATACGACCTGTGGTTTTGCCCTCTTTGAATGTTACAGTCACCAGGAAGAGGGGTTTAAATCTCTCAAATGGGTCAAGTCCTGTTCTAAGACCTTTATGACTTGCCATACAGTATATTTGTCAAGCAGGGGTAACGTTATGTTGTGAAGAACAGGCACTGGGGGAGATGAATGAGAGATCTCCTCAGCAGCAACTCCATTCCTGTAAACTTGGCTCATATTTTTAGTGACATATTCTTTTAGCATCCCAGCTAGACAGTTGTTCAGATCACCATCATGCCGCCCCAGCCCTGTTCGATGTGTGGTACATCATTCCTGAACTTAGCTTTTCAGGGGGAAAAAGTTCTACTACAGCATTTGAATTAGAAGAATTTAGAAGACATGGTGTGAATGCCCAGATACCTCCAAAGAGCAGCTGGTGAAATCAAGACAGGGAAAAGTCTTCAGCTGAAGACATGAAAATGAAGTTATTTTAAATGCATCGAGATCGAGTGTGCAACTTGGAGAACACGCGCTTGTTTTTTTTCTTTCCTCATTCTTTTACTGCAAATATTGATTTGTTATTTACACAGAAGAGGAAAACGAAGATGATTTTTTGTTTCACTCTAGATAGATTGTTTTGAAAAAATTTTTTAATCAAATGCTGTAGCAGAAGAGAAGCCCATCAAACTCTGAAATGCTATGCTTCTCATTAGCAACAGTCCCTGGTTTTCATTTTCATCCTGCCATTTTGGGTTCACATACAATAATAGAATCTGACACATTTATCAAAAAAAAGTGTGCGTGTGTGTGTGTGTGTGTGTGTACACACACCCCATCTCTGAGGACAAGAGAGGGAAGACGGGTGGAATAGCTTTTGAAACCATTCGTCAGAGGTAAGCCCATCATAATGGGTGATTTAAACCTCCTACTTGATAAGACTGCAGGAGGAAACTCGACTTCAAACCAGTGCCTCTCAGGGACTGTGCAACTGTTGTTGTTGGCTGTTCTGGAGACCATGCATTGTTCTAAAATTTCGTATTGTTAGCATGCAGGAACAGGCTGAAACTGGTAATCGAAGCAGCAAAAAACCATTTGCTATAAGAAGATTAAATGTTAATTATAAGCAATCACATTCCAAAGCAGCATATGCATAAAAAAGAAAACATGCTATTACTCGTCATTCCTTCCCAGTCGTCACTCACGCCAAATACAAAATAGAAATCTCATAAGACAAACAAGCACCACCACACACACAAAATCAGCAAGAATGATCAATGAGAGGCTCAAAGACAAGACAGAAACAGTTAAAAATGATTGAGCCCCACACGTTGACAAACCTTCGTAAATTACAATGTCTAGACCAAGGTGCCACCAACTGGGAAGGTGGCTCTTTTGCTCTACTGCTGGAAGAGTCCATTTTCATTGACCCCCTGTCAGGTGTCTTCACCTACATACTTCCAGGTCCACTCTCTTAAAAGGTAAGGCCCATATGACTCTCATCGGGTGGAGTGATCCGTCAGGCTTGAAGGATGTGTGTCCCAGCAGGAAGAGGCTTCCTTTGGGCCATGATTCGAGTCATGAGCAAGCTCTTTAACTAAAAACGGATGAGGATCTGTCTCCCTGATGGTAGTTGTTCCAGAAGATGTGGACACTGTGTGTAAAATTATGGTCTCCACTTGGAAAATAAAATTACATCAAAATTAAGTTGTGGATCTCCTAATTTGGAAAATATTATTCCTCATCTCCCCGAACTCTCGCTCTCTGGCTTCCTAATCCTTTCATTTAGTTTTAGTGAATCATGGATATTCGGAACTACTGGTATTTTGTTTCCACTTCTCTGTGATTGTTTCCTTTTAGAGAGCTGATGTAGGTTATAAGGTTAATTTCAGATAACAGAGTGCCATTTAAAACTCCCAAGGTTGGGTTTCAAAGAGCAACTCTGAAAGTTCTAGTATTTATTTAAAACAGAAGTAAATTTCATATCTACTCCCTGGTCACATAAAGTGCCCTCTCTCCTTTGGTGTTTGCTGATTTTCTTTATTACATAGTCACCTAGTGCTCTCTACCCAAATCCCAATCCTCAGAAAAGGGAGTTTCTCCAAGATTTCAATGGTAATACAAAGTAGATCTATGAGGACATCTAGTGGATCTGTATGAAAAAGCAGCTAGTTAACAGATCACCTGAACTAGTGGGCCTTTCTCTAAAAGGGAGCAGAAAAGAGGAACCTGCGTGCCTCTAAGAAGTGACATGTGTGCGGTGTCATTTCCTCACACTCTACAGCAGATTTTTAGGGGGCATCAGGGACAAGGGGGTGAGAGGTCCTAGGAGATGGTCCTAGAGTGGTCAAAACTGGCAACTTGCAAGCACATTGTCTCTGCAGCCATGGCCAGCAAAGTGGGACCACTTCAGCACCAACTGGCTTGGTCTCCTCAAAGCCCTGCTGCAGCTTCCTGAGACACAGAACAGTCAAGAGGGTGTCTCTGGTAGGTGTACATACTGTGGCTACTTGTCATTCCACGTTAGGGCTCTTGGAATTTATGCTCAATTAATTTCCCCCATAGGCCAGCTTAACTCTGGGAAAGCTGAAATATAAGCCTCTGGGGACTCAGTTTTCCCTTTGGCCCACATCATAAGGTTCTTGTTCTTGGACTGGTGCCACAGATTCAAAGAGGTTATGTGGTTGCCAAGAATTAGACCCTGGGTCTCACCTTCCTCCTAAGAACTCTGTCCTACCAGTTTTACAATTTGGGGGAAAAAAAACAGCTTTTATGTGCTTTCCTTCACCACAATGAAGAGAATATTAATCTACTATTTCCATTATGACTTCCTAATGCTACTTACAGAGACAGCATAAAAGTATTTCTCTAATGGACATCATCAAAGGTATGTGTTTACTCTTAAGTGTTTAAAACTGGAAGATTTCTCAGACATACTCTTGGACAACTTTTCCTATATATCCAAAGGTCATGATCATGAGAAAGGAAACCTGTGGAGAAGTGGCTACTGCCGATGTAGTTTATTACTGCTCTTTCCTTGCATCAAACTGACAATCAGCTGTCAAACTCAGGTTCTCTGCTGGTTGGCCCTTCCGAGCCAAGTCTGGAATGGAAGAGGGAGTTGGACTCTATCCTGTTCTCAGCACCATCTGCCTCCCGCATCAGCAACCAAATTGTCAGCCAATTTCCAATTGCAGAATCTTAATTTCCAGGGTGGACTGGAAGGGGCAGGAGAAGCAGTGCTGGACTGAGAGGCTCAGGTGGAGTTTTCCAACTGCTGGGGAGAAAATAGTTTAGGTTTCAAATGGAGCAATTCAAGGGAAGACTGGTGGGGAAGAAAAAAATCTGCCATTCAATTCATAGTAACTTGAATTGAATTGAATATAGTGGTAATTACCTCAGCCTATTCAGATCGTAACCTTGTGTTTAAAATCAATCCAATGCAGGAATGATTATTGCAAAGCCTGAACCCTAGAGGTGTTCATATGGTCACAGCAACTAAAATTTCAGGTAAAAACATCCACGGAAGAAAAAGTTCACCGAGGTGTAAGGTTGAGGCATTTGTTTGATGTGACACTGGGAATCAGAGAGCATTCTTTCAAGTCCTATAAATGAGAAATG